ACATTAAAGCATCTTTCTAAGCAGCTTCCATGCCTCCAGTGTCTTTTTCCCCACTTGGAGCCGAACCCAGAAGGACATTTCTTCCAACAGTATCTAGAGACCCATCTACCTTGATGGATCATGCAATACACAGGACACTAAATTCAGTCCTATATCCTAGAGAGCAAGTACCGTATCTGGCCTCAGTGAGTGATGAAGAAAAATAAATGCTGAAACTCCTTTCCAGTTTCCAACTAGAAATAGATCAGAACAAAAATTCTTCACCAAAAACTACAGTTTTCACTTCTATATTTCTTAAGTCTGTAGATCTTAGTCATATGAGATGCATTGGTGCATAGCATTTACATCTACATCACATCTATAAGCAGAAGCCTTCGCTGTTAAAGTAAGGTCAACCTGAGATACAAATGTAAAATTATTTTAATGGGTTTCTTGATTATTAATTCTACAAGATACTTTCCAGTGAAAATAAATATTTAAATGTTTTATAATTAGAACAAGTTCACTCTTGAAACTCCTAGTGGATATTATAACAATTCAGTTTTAAAAGCTTGAAAGCCACTGACTGTGGCCTTCTTGGATGCCAAAAAAGCTTTTGATATGGAACAGCTTCAATTTTAGGATCGTGTTATGAAAAAAAATAACTTTTTATTCCTTAGTTCAAAATCAATTGTATTAGTGCATCTGCTTGAGTTCTGACAAATGGGATCCCCTACCCCCACAATTAAAATGTATGATGGGTGTCCCATCAAGAAAGTTCTTTTATCTCCAATCGGTAAAAAGGTTTTCCTGAAAGTGTGTCAATATAATGCAGTTAATGATATTCTAGCAGTGCAATCCTATACATTCAGAAGTAAATTCTAATGAATTCAGAAGACCTTTTTCCAAATGAGACTTGCAAACAACTTCATGAGTTCCAACAACATAAAGGGCTGGGTCATATGCCAAAAGATGATTATGAGTCAGAACTCATAATTAGTCTGACTTGGAGGAATAAGATCCCAACATATACTCCAGGACTTCAGAAATATCCTGAATTCCTGGCCCCTTCATTTTGAGGGACCTAATATTGCAAAGAGGTATTGATAAATGGATTGCATTCTTCACTTTCATTGTACTTCTACTGTAGCTTTTAAAAGATGGAGATGGAGACCAGATTGCATTCGCTACACTTTCACAGTACCCTGGGGTGAAAAAATCCTGAGTTCTGAAACATCTTCAAAACCATCCCATCCCATCTTTTGGCTTCTGGAAGTGTGGCCTGAGTTGATAGTGGTTAGAATCCAACACATGAAGAGATACTAAGCCAACACAAGCGTGTGTGCTCACACCCATAATGCAATGCATGCGCAACACACACACCTATAAGCCCCACCCCCTGTGCATGCACATACTGTACGCCCCCCCCCATTTTCCCCCATGCCGCATTTTGGATCTAGCAGGCCTCCCTGAAGCCTCCTAGGACACAGAAAATGGGGTGCAGGGAGTTGTGCCGCACACACACACACACCCATGCTCCCATCACCACCACCCCACGCATGCACCTGTATCTCCCGCATGTGCCCCCTGCACATGAGTGGCAGACATTTGAAAATCAGCTGGCCGGTTGGAGGTGCACACACATGCGTGGTGGAGCTAAGCCGGGGTGATGGCTGGCATGCCCACAGAGAGGACTCCACATGCCACCTGTGGCACGCGTGCCATAGGTTCACCATCATGGTACTAAGCCAATGTAGGACATAGCTATTTATCCTGGAAATTGCCCCTGCGTGAAGAACATGGGCAGATTTGATACTGATTGGCAAATACTCCAACCAAAGCTGATAAAGGTACTTAGATTCATGGATGCCATTCACAAATGTCAGAACTTCCCTGCCTCCAAGATGCCATGTAACTCCATGTAAATGTAGTGGTATTCCTAACATCCAACTTTGCCACTAAATATGTTCAGTAAACCTATGGGAAATGAAGACAGGCATCTAGGAAGCTACATATCTCCAATGTCTGCTTAAAAAAACACATGCTTCATCTAAAGCAGACCAAACAGTATGATCAACCATAGAGTGATGGCCAATCTGTCACTCAGCATCAAAACCAGATTGACAGCAGGATCAGTTGATTCACGACTAGGCTACCTCTTCTTTGCCTCAAGGAATGATTTGAAAATGCTTATCTTTGTGCTGAGAAAACCATCAGCAGCAGATTTAGGCTGATAAATTACACCAAGATCATCATCTTCGTCATTTGGCAAGTAAGATGAGTAAGAGAAGTATAAAATAGACCCAGACCCAGTGGTGGGATTCAAATTTTTTACTTCCAGTTCTGTGGGCATGGCTTGGTGGGTGTGGCATGGCATGGCTTGGTGGGCGTGGCAGGGGAAGGATACTGTAAAATCCCCATTCCCTCCCCATTCCAGGGGAAGGTTATTGCAAAATCCCCACTTCCTCCCGATCAGCTGGGACTCGGGAGGCAGAGAATATATGGAGGCAGGGCCAGTCAGAGGTGGTATTTACTGGTTCTCCGAACTAGTCAAAATTTCCACTACCGGTTCTCAAGAACTGGTCAGAACTTGCTGAATACCACTTCTATCCAGACCTCTGTTTATTCAGAAGTCCTTTTCCTTGGTGTGAAAAAAAAATCACTCTTATCCATCAAGCCATATAAATGCTTAGAATATGAATTGTCTTCCTGGATGTTGCTAGGAGGGACTCAGAAGCAAAACATTTTTGTGACAAGAAGATACTTGTCAAATTCCCATCGGTGGTAGAAAGTGCCCAGGGAGCAAGACAAGGTGTTGTAAGCATGGGATGGACATGTACCCACCACAGAGGATCAGCAAACTCACTTTCAGAAGCAACAGACACTTGCTTCCATATTCTTTTCTCCCACTTGCAACTGCAACATTGAATAGGCTTGCATCCGTTGAGTTTCTGCCTGTCACATGGCATTTCAAGACAGAGCCTCTATCAGAGAAAACGGAGCCACACCTCATGAATCACCAAAGGGGCTAGTATTCCATTAGTTTCTGGAGATTTGCCAGATTCCACATAGAGAAAGAAACTGATCACTATTTGGGCAACTTGCTCTCCCCCATGTCCTCCCCCTCCTCCAATTGCTTCATTAATTTCTGAGGGCTATAATCACATCTAAGGGGAGAGAGAGAGAGAGAGAGAGAGGGAGGGAGGGAAAGAGGGAGGGAGGGAGGGAGGGAGGGGAAGGAGGAGAGAGAGAGAGAGAGAGAGAGAGAGAGAGAGAGAGAGAGAGAATTTGAAGCAGTCCTCAAGCAGTTAGGTAAAAAGTATAGTCAGGTTAGCAGGAAAGTATTAAAATACATTTTGCAGAGAGGCTCAATGACTTATCATAGTTTAGGGTGCATTCTAGTGGCAGAAATAAGGTAATGCAGGCACAGGACTGTCCAGGCTGCAAGAGGGCTGGCATCTAACTTGAGAAGAAGTCTGCTTGAGATCTCAAACAAACAAAAAAGACTCTCAATCACACAGATCCCCATTTTCCTTTAAATGATTCGTCTTCACCTTCCAGATTTTAGGCAAAAGGCAAAGCTACAGCAGGGTTGGGCTACACTGTGGTTAGAGAGAAAAAGATTGAAATGAGAGAAAGGGGACTGTACTTTTTCTAAGCAGTTACTGAATTTTAGGGTCCTGAGAAGGCAATTAATACTCCTCGTCCTGTCCATGAGTAAGAAGAGAGCAGGGTATTGTTCTGTCATAGGTCAAGTGACGTCCCAAAGATCATCTTATCATTTAGAATCCAAAATGTTTCCAAGTTGTGGGGTGCTTTGGAATGTTTTGTGAGAAGAAAGGTGTAAGAAGAAGAAACTTTTGTAGTACTGTATGTGCCTTACCAGTCAACCCCTTCCCCCTTGTCATACACTGTAACTGATTCCCCTCCCCAAGGGGTTCACTTCCATGGATTCTTCCCCTCCTCTCCCCCCTTCTCTGTCCCCAGTTCCTGCTTTCAAATTAAATCAATTATGGTGAAGGGGGAGGAGGCGATCATGTATCTATCTCAGTCCATCTCGTACATGCAAACACAGAGTGGCAACAAAACCCTCAGGGGCTCAGCCTTACAGATTGCAGACCTTAAGTCTTGCAGGGCCATATCATGCCATATATAGCCACACCCATCACCTGATCAAGCCAGGGTTGGTTCTAGAGGAGGTGTAAACTTGATCCTGCAAGGAACCCCCTTAATTTACAGCCTAGCTGTAATGCTTCCCTGCCTGACAACAAGAGTCTGCACAATGCTGCCCTTGGATATGTATTTTAGGGCATGGAGCATGTGGTGATTGAAAGGTAATGGTAACTGGATCAAATTTTGCAAAGTTTGCTAGCTAACTATGTGCAATTATGGTTGATTTGCTTCTATTATTTCAGAAACATGGCTGATAAAGCTTTTCACGGCATAGAGATAAGTACTATCAAATTCCTGCATGTTATGGCTATTATAGAAGTACATTTGTGCTTAACCCAAAAAAAAAGTTGGCAATCTGATACGCTCCTCTCTATTCACACACAAACTTACTTGGAATAAAATCCCAATGAATTGAATGAAATTTGCTCCAAAGTGTGGGTACACGTGTTTACAATTTGGGGCACTGAGAATAAACATGACACCAGTTGAGCCGGAACTTCTCAATGTTTTGAAAAAGAAAAGAAAAAACCCCTGTAGTTTAAAAAAAAAGAGGGGGAGACACTTGATTTCTTCTTGCACAGCATAAAGGTGGCATTTGGATGCCTTTGGGTGGTGTCCGTTGGAAAGCCTAGAAGTCAAAAGCTGCACAGTCACCCCACCCTTCTCCCTCCCCTCCCTACACACACACACAAACACACACACACTTGGAGTGTGCACTGAGCTTGCCCTGGTTCCTGGCACCAATTCAGGCTGAGGTGTCATTGGGATCTCAGATTGCAGCAAGGGTCTGGCAGGCAGCCAGGGGCAGTCTATTTAAAAGACATGCCTGCTCGGCACTATTCAGTCTCTTTAGAAACTTCTCCAGGGGGAAAGTGTTGGGAGATCTACAAAGTGGAATTCTTTTCTTTTTCCTCTTTTCCTCCTTTGCTCTCTTTGTCAAAGAGACTTTGTAAAAAAAAACCTTCAACAGAAAACCTCTTTGTTGTTTTTAACCCAATCTAGGAAAAGGAGGGGTTTTTTTTAACCAAAAAAAAAAAAAAATTACAGCTAGTCCCAAGCTAAAATCTCTTCTTGACAAAGCTCATCTTTTACCTGCTTTAGTGCTACTCCAGACATTTTTTAAATTTGCTGCAGATCATATCAGGACAGTCGAAAAGAAGCTTGTTCAATTCTTCGCTTCCTCCCCAGCCTCTTGCAGACTTTGCTTCTTAGTGGGGCGTGTGGATTATGTTATACTTCTTTGTGCAGCCTCGCCAAAGCTACTCTTGCTCTTTAATTTTTTTTTGAACCCTTTTTTCCGGTGACTTTTTTGTTTCCCTTTTTTGAAATTACCAATCTGTTGCATCTGTAGTTCTTGCAACTGTCAGCTGCAGACAAACCTGTGATAGCCTTTCTTTTATAACAATCTAGGTGTTCTCTTTTTTCCAACATTCTGATTAAACCTCTTTTGGAATCTTAAAGGAGAAGAGACTTCCCCCCCCCCTTTTTTTTTTGGTCTCCAAAAAAAAAAAAGAACTTTGTTGTTGTTTTTTCCTTTCACAACTCCTGCACCAGTGCGCCTTGACAAGAGCCTTGAAGATGTTCCTGATGCAGGCGCTGCTCGTGTCTCTGTGCCTGGGGCTTTCACAGAGCTTGGGTTCCTTTGTGCACTGTGAATCTTGTGACGAGAAAGCCCTCTCCATGTGCCCTCCCAGCCCTGTGGGCTGCGAACTGGTGAAGGAGCCCGGTTGTGGATGCTGCATGACGTGCGCCCTGGCTGAAGGGCAGTCCTGTGGGGTGTACACAGAGCGATGCGCCCAGGGCTTGCGCTGCCTGCCGCGTCAAGGCGAGGAGAAGCCCTTGCATGCCCTGCTCCATGGCAGAGGGATCTGCCTGAATGAAAAGAGCTACCGAGAGCAAGCTAAGAATGGTGAGTCCTGCCCTGGGCCCTTGGCTCAGCTTCCTTGCTTTACTTTCTTCTGCTGGTGGGGAGTTGGGGGGTGGGGAGAGAAAGAGGCTTCCCTATCTATTTGTTGCTTGCCGTGCACTGAGCATCCTCTGAACATCTTTCTTTACTTCCTTCAAGCAGGTTTAGGCATCGCCAGGTCATTTTTCGTAATCCGATTAATGCTCAGGTCTGGTGCCTCCCTGGCATTCTCCTCCCTTCCCACTTGTCTTCTGCAGCACAGCTTCTCTTTCTACCTAGCTATCTTCCTCCTTCCCCAGCTGAGTCTTTAGTCTAATCTTGCATAACTTCTGTTACCTTGGCTAGACCCTGGTTTCTCTCTCTCTTTGGTGAATTTTCTCTCCCTGCACCTTCAAACGTTGTACCTCCACCTCCTTCCATCTTTGCTCTGTTCCTCTCCACAGCCCCAAGCCAAGCACCTTCGCCATCTGTTGGGGTTGAAGGACCTTTAGGGCAGATCACTTGGGGCACCCAGGAAAAAGAGCAAGATGCCCCTAAGAAAGGGGTGCCAGCTTCCCCCATTTTGAAGTAAATGCATATTCCCGTCTGAAAAAGGAGGGTGGGAGCTTAGGATTGTCCCCAATTCTACAAATAACTGCCTTTGGTACTTACCCCTGGATCTCCATTACCTCCATGACCCTTCCCCAATAGTGGGAAGGCTTAGCAGCAGTCCTCAGGCCTTTGTGAAGCAATATATAGCACCCTTGGGATCAATGTAGCAGCACCAATATCCAGTTGAGTCTCACTTGACTTGACTTTTCATACCTGTCTCTGTAGCCCCTTCCCATCCTCAGACTGAGTTTCCCTCTGACTCCATCTGTAGGTTGTTGCAGGGGAAGGCAGGGTGGCATCAAAATGAAACAGGTGCAACAGAATAATGAAAAAGAGTTGGGAGGGAGGGGGAGAGAGAGTTTTGACAGGAAACCTTGGTCAGCATTCTTGCCTAGGAAGAAACCCTCAAATCCAATCCTGACTCTACTTTTTTTCTGGCTTATTAGCAGCCCCCTTCCTCTTCTTCCTCTCTCGAAACCAAAATTCCAGAGAGCTTCTTTGTTTTCTTCTCCCCCCCTCTCACCCCAAAACAAAAGCCACTCTTTTATCAGATGTCCCCTTCTGCAAAATCTAGCATCCAGGGAATGCTTGTTGCATCTAACCAGTGAAGAACATCAGCTATAAGCCTCTTGCTAACCCTCAATAAATCTTGTTCCATTCATTGTATTCCCCACTCCTCACACCCACCCACTCCGCATCTCTTCTTTGAAAGCATTGGCTCAGTTTGGTTGTCATTGCATTTGGCAGAGCAAAAGTTTCTTTTTAAAAAAAAATCAACACATTTGCCAAACTTCAATTGCTGCTTTTGTGGGGGGGGGGGGGGAGACATTAAAGCCAAAGATTTTGGTGAAACTACTGTAGTCTTATGGAGGGGTGGTGGGAAGAGGAGAGGAGATTTAATTTTGATTTTTCTGGTCTTGGAACTCGGAAAATTATGCAAAGAATGGCTTCCGCTAAAGCTGAGTAAGATACCCTCCTTGCACTAGTATGCGCTTCTTTAGATTCTGTGTGCGTGTGTGTGCGCACACGAGCAAGAATGCTGGCCAGGAACACAAGCGGAATCATTACCTACAGAGAGAGCAGCAGCAATGTTGAGCAATTCAGTCTCCTCTCTTTAGAATTACAACAGTGCCCCTTACAGACTGCTGAAACCTGCAGCATTTTAAATTTGGATTTAATCTGAATAACCCTTGCATTTTTGTCTCTCTGCCCCTTCCCCTCTGTTTCCCTCACAAACACACACACATAGACAACTCCCCCACACACACACACATTTTCTGGTCCCAGCTGAGCAGCAGGTGCTCCAAAACCGTGGGTGTCAGCCGAGTGGCCTCAAGCTGATGCATGTCTTGTGAAGACCAAAGAGTGATTAAGGAAAACATGGCACCTCCCTCACTTGCCTGTGGCTGATTGAAAGAGATTTTTATACTGTCTCCTGAGGAGGGGAGGGGGCAAAATCATTGTCAACCTTGACAATGGAAGAGTCCAGAGGTTTATATTTTATACTACACCATTTAATTCAGGGGTGGTGGGGCTTAATATATTGTTCGCAGCCAACCAGGGGAGTTGTGAGCCAGGGTTAGGGCTTATTTTCTTCTAATGATCCAGTCCATTGTAGCTTTTTTAGTAATTGACAAAACCATGGTATATATAGCCCATATATCTATGGCCAATGCATCTGAATCACTTGTTTTTCTTTCTGTCTTTTTCCATATAAATGAAATGTCTGAATTTGTCTATGGTTGTGTTATGGTTTAAGAAATTACTGACAAAAGGAACACATGTGGCACAAATGACTGGCCCATCATTAACCTCTGCTGAGTTACAGTGAACCTTGGATGGAATTGCCGGAGGTTTGCAGATCGCTAGGTTGTGGTGGTGATCTGTGGTGTGCAGTTCTGGATCTCAGGAGGCATCAGAAACAATTGGGAAACAATCAGAAGCGATCAAGAGTCTGATCCTCACCAACCAGATTGTCCTTGGTAGATTGCATTATTAAAACGAAGGGAAGCAGTTGGGATGGACCAATTCATATCTTTGCCTCTCAGGTTGGATATTTAGATATCTATCAATACTAGGCATCTTCACCTGATGCATTTCAAGGGTTTTGAAATATTTTAATGGAGCTGCTAATTTCTAAATAATTCTTCCCTTAAAAATACTTTGCTGTTCTGTCAGCTTACCAATCACCTTGTTCTATATCCCAAATCTTGTACATTAATTTCAAAACACCTTGTTTTCTTTCTCCAACATTGTTGGAACTTTAATCCAATAATGTTAAAGGTGAACCACCAAAGACTTCTTTATGCAAATACAGAAGTTTGATGGGAATGGATGGTTCAGCTATAGTCAGATATTTATTCTCTCTCTCTCTCCCTCTCTCTCTCTCTCTCTCTCTCTCTCTCTCTCTCTCTCTCTCTTTTTCTCTCTCCCTCCCTCTCCCTCTCCCTCTCCATCTCCCTCCCTCCCTCTCTCCCTCTCTCTCTCTCTCTCCCTCTCTCCCTCTCTCTGGCTTTTGTTTTAAAGCAGAATATTTTTCGAGGGCAAAAGTTGGGTGGGAACCTCCTAGCATCAGAACAGCAAAATGTGAGAACTGTGAAGTATATTTTTTGTAGGCATGTTTCTAAGCAACTGGCGAAGGGGAAGAAATAAAGTTTGACTTGAACTCAAAAGCTTGTGCCAAGGTTGGAGAAAACTTCAAGGAGTGAGTCCTGGCTATGGTTTATTCATCAGTATTGGCCCTGTGCTGGGATAACAATGAAAAGGGTAAAAGTCAAGGCTCTGTCTAAATGGGAGTCAAGCACTTTTTAAAATAACAAGGAGCACCTGTTTATTGCTTTGTTTTAGTGCATGATTTCCATTTGGACAGAATATGAAATATGTGAGATCATTAGAAACCACACTGACATTAGATCCATGGGGTGAAGCAACACAGAACAATATCTGCTCCAGGAAAACTAAGAGCAGTAAACTCCCATGTCCAAGTATCTAAAGGGTCCCTCACAGAGAAGTGGACTTACACCCTATTGCCCTAGGGGACAGGATTAGAACTAGGAGTTCATGCTATGAGCCGGTGAAACAGATTGCCACATGAAGTGATGAGTTTGCTTTTGCTGGAAGTCTTCAGGCCAAGCCTAGGTGATAATGTATAAAAGTTGCTCTATGGATTCTGCATTGAACTAGGGCAGGGGTCAGCAACTTGTGGCTCTGGAGCTGCATGTGGCTCTTTCATCCTTCTGCTGTGGCTCCTTGTCGCTCAAAATATGTGTCATAACTACCAATGTGCAACACCTGCCAGCACATGATTTATTGAGTTTTTCGACCCCCAGTAGGATAAGTCCATGGATAAATCCAAGAAAAGAAAAGTGTCAGAAGAAAACAGAACCTTTAATTCAAATACACATGTTAGTTTTGTGACCGCTCAGGAAATAGTCAGGCACAGGAAGGGTTTTGTGGCTCCCGGTGTGTTTTTTTTTCCTGTGGGAAACGGGTCCAAATGGCTCTTTGAGTATTTAAAGTAGAGTTAGGACTAGATAATCTCTAAGGTACTTTCCAACCCCTGCATCTTAATTTCTCTGGTATAGTTGCTGGTTTAAGTTCTCCCTGCCTGTAAAAAGACAGCAATGTTTTTTTTTTAACTATTTCATATACAGTATATGGTATCAGTTCTATTGGTTTCTTTATGCTCCTTTAACTGCAAACACCATCACACATGGATTTTTAGTCCTTGGATAGAACCTCCATGGGGTTTTTTATATTTTTCCTGCATGTAAAAAAAATAGATAAAAAGGCAGGTGATGTGTTTAAAAATCTTTTCTTCTAGTTCTTGTACCCTGTGAGGTTTTGGGTGGGGAGTTTTGATTCTTTATCTGAATTTGAAATGATTCCCCACCAGGTTCTTTAAACCCTTAGCTCTTGTTCAAAATCATCCACACCCTTTAAACCCACCTGAGAGAGAGAGAAAGGCTTCCTCCACACTTGCAGATGTTGCAGAAGCAACCCCTGGTGGCCACATGCTGCAACTGCAGCTCAGTAGAAGAAATAAAACAGTACCCTCCAGGTTATACAGACCACGATGGAGCCCAAAATTCCCATTGCTAAGCAAAATAGTTGCTAAGCTAGCTTTGCCCCATTTTACGACCTTTTTGACACCGTTGTTAAGTGAATTGCTGCACTTATTAAGCTGGAAACGGGTTTGCTAAGTGAATCTGCCTGCCCCGCTGACTTTGCTTGTGAGAAAGTTGCAGGTGATCACATGACCCCAGGGCAATGCAAGTGTCATAAATACATGCCAATTGCCAAGCATCCAAATTTTGATCATATGACCATGGGAAGGGGGAATGCTGCAGCAGTCATATGTGTGAAAACACAGTCATCAGTCCTTTTTGCAATATCATTATAATTTTGAACAG